CTGCAAGGACTACAGATTTATTTTTAGATGAAGGTTGGGGGTTTTTTTTCCAACAATGCTCTTTTTTCCAACAAAGCTGCAGAAAAAAAAAAAAAAAAATCAAAAGACTGCCAGTAAAGCTGAAAAGCAGTGTGCCTTGTAGAAGCCACAGCCCAGGCACTATGGCATTCAGCTCTGCAGCCTGAACATGGCCCCGTGGGCCCTTGGCTCTGTCCTGCTCCCAGCACTTGGCTCACTCTTTGAGCCATCAGGAGCTACTGTGTGTTGGTGTCCCACTCTGCATTACATGACCACAAGGGTTGTTCTCAAACCTGACTCTACCAGCACCTCTTCTTGGCAGGGTTAAGGAATACCCTGGTGGGTAATTTCTGTGTAAGGTCTAGAAGTCCCACAAGGCTCATTATTGTTGTGAGAAGCAGCCCTTTCCGTGTCAAAACCCCACACTAAACACTTCCAGGAGCGTGGTTTCTCCTGCAGGAGGAGCCCAGAGTTCCCCACGCAGCTGCTTCCTGGGGAACTCCAGCTTCTGTTTGGGGACCACTTTCCAGAAGTACAGATGAGAGCCTCAGCTACAGATAGCACTGCATCTGCTGGGAGCATCCAAAAGTTCTGACATCTGAGGGAACCCCTTGGACAAGCTCAGCCGCAACCTGCACCCACGGAAAGCATTCCCACACCAGCACAGATGTTTGGCACAGGCAGTCCCCCACAGGTGACCCTCTGGGGTGATGGGCTCTGCCAGTTTGGAGTTCTCCTAAACAAAGCTGTCTGTGTTTAACCTTCCCAGGCAGACTTTCAGATTAAGTTTGTGCATACCGGGAAAGCAGAGCGTACAATTTGCTCCCCTGTTTGACATAATCATAGGCTGTCCCGGTGCCTGGAACAATTTAATGAATACCTTAGGACAGGTTTTGCTGTCAAATCACAATACTGCCTTTCACCAAAGCTCTTGTCACTGTTACCATAACTGTATCTGACACTGAAACAATTTTGTTCAACCTGCAGCGACCTGTGGTGACTGTGCAGAGGCATATCCTCTCTGATGTCCATTCTTTGGCCAGATTTTAGGATAAAATCCTGGGGAAAGGCATTTCATTAGTTCCAAATCACTGAAGGTGCTCTGTGAGCACCTGTACTCATATTTACACAGGGCTAAAGCTCTGCTGCTGCCACTGCACTCCTCTAACAAACCACAGGGGTTTCACAAGAAGGTTGAAGCACAATCTTGAAAAAAAGGAACAGAACAAGCAAAGGCACACAGAGAGACAGGAAGAATTGTGCTGTCATCAAACCCAGACTGCCTCCAACAGCATAATTTTTTCCTCAGCAATCTGAGAACCCAGAAACCCAGAGCAATGTATCGGGGTTTTAGTAACACTGCTGGGGAAGCATCTTGAAACTTGCTCTGGTTTTGGAACTTTGCGAGGTGGCAGGCCAAGACCTCAGAGATGTGTGGAAAGCAAGAACTCAGAAAATACATTTGCATGAGACTTGAAGAAGGGTCCACCAGGGGCTGGCAGCAAAGCCACATTCCTTAACACTCTACTGCAACACATGCTAAAAAGACACCCATCCTTGGGTCCCTATGGAGAAATCCAGGGCTGACCCCTTAGGCTGCAGGGGTGTTGCAGGGAGTGTTTTGCAGAGTTCTGTGCACAGCTCGACTGGGAATTCCCCTGGGTGAGGAAACCCTTGAGCAGAGCCCAGTGCTCCCAGGGCTGCTGCTCCCCACACCTCTGCCCAGGGCAGCAGCCGTGCTCTCAGCACCAAGAGGCACCATCAAACCTTAGGCGCTGCTAAGAGACACCACAGGACCATGCTGAGCAGAGGCAGAAACCAAACCCTGTGGGGGACAAGCCCTGTTTGCAGACAGCATTCACTGCTGCCTCCTCCCTGCGTGTGTGCAGCTCAGATCTTCAGAGCCTGGGTGAATGTCCGGCCTCACTAGGTTCAGTCACTTCAGCTGGCTTTAGCCAGCCCTACTGCTTCCTTTCAGCTGCTGATGGCTTCTGCAGTGCCCTGCAGCCTCCCAAGCAATAAGGATGTTTTGGCATTTTTATGGTTTTGGGTGGGTTTTTTTTTGGTATGAATTAATTTTGGTGTTTGGGGGATTTCATTTAACTGAATCAACACAGCATTGCTCTTACATGTACTTTGCTGGAGAGTGCATATTCCTAATACTCCATCCAGAGGGACCAGGCTGAGCCACTCCACAGCTTCATCATCTGACAGCTGAAACAGGACAGGGTCTGAATTGATTTCAAGCCTGGTTTTACAGCATTTACTCCTCTGCCACTGCAACACACACTCAAAGATATCTCTACTGTCTTCATAAAGAGATCTGAAACTTCTTCACCACTGAAGATCAACTTTATATAGGTATTCTGGATCTCACAAAGATTAAAGTGGCAGGAATACTAAGATGCCTGTGCTGGAAAGGCTACACCAGCAACAGTAAATCATTAAGTGACAGGCCTGCCCCCCTTTCTTGGTATTTGGAGATGGGAAGGTTTGTGTACAAGGGGAGGACAAATAAAGCAAACAGTCACTATGAGGCATATGAAAGCCGAGAGAGTAAACCAAGTGAAAATAACCCAATTTTCTACTGATTTGTTCAATGAGTTATTGCAAGTAATTTTTTCCTTCTGCTATTTACGGGGTTTCCCTCTGCTAAATGTTACCACGGTCACTGTGGTGTAACATTAATTTGCTTATATAACCTCTCAGTTGCACATATGGACCCAGATGTTGTGTCAGAAACAGTACACTTGGGGAAGGTTTTCTAAAACCTGTACATGAAAACTTCATGGAACAGTTAATTTTTTCCCTTAACTCTAATGGGGCCTCATTCACAGAAGGGCACACTGATGTCCTACCATGAAGCTGCTCAGCCCTGCTGATGCTCCCCTGAACTTGCAATTAAGCTTCAGCCTTGTAATGCACCTAACTTCATCTTACATCACTTCTCTTCATCCCATGCACCAGAAAAAGCAACTAGTGGGCTTGATTCAATGCTGGATTTAATGAAGATAAACCTGAAGAGATTAGAGGCTCAAGAGTGTACTAGAAAGTAGAACTCAGTATGCATTTACTGCATTTAGTCCTTAGAAAAAAAAAAATCTACATTTTTCCTGTAGCTTATTTTGTGTCTTAGAATGGGTGAAAGATCAAACTTCTATGAGTATTTTCAGTAGCAATGTAACTTCTTTGCTGCCCAATGTATCATTTACAAAATACTACCTAAATTCAGAAAGGATATTAAAACAGTGGCCATGAGCTGTCCAGAAATTTAAGTCTCTCAATCCACTAACTTTTTCCTCCAATATAAAGCAAAATAACATTTTATAGCAAGTCATGACTGAAGCTCTCCTGCATGAAGGGTTTGTTGGCTGAAATTATTAACAAAAAACTAAAAGTACTCACAGATGTATTTTAGACTTTACAGACTGGTAGATTCAAAGCCCTGGGGAACTTCACCAGTTCTGTGCAAGTGGGAAGTGAGGGCAAACATTTATCACAGCCCGGAAGAGTGTATTCTGACTTCAAGCTGTAATTACAAAAAAAAGAAAAAAAAACCACCAAAGCAAAAATCCCCTTTTGTTCTTCTTGGTTAGAGAGAGGAACAGCTATGAACAAAGATATTCTTCTGCTTTTGATACTCCATGTGCCTGCAAAGCTCACCAAACACCTCTAAGAAATTGTTCCTTTTTACCATGAAGTTCATTACACTCGAAGTAAAAATTAAAACGGGTAAATGTTGTACCTTTTATATGTTAACTTCCACACTTTGTATACTGGGCACTGAACAAAATCTAACTACTTTCCAGAAGGTAAAAGTAAATTCACAAGCATTTCACTGTCAGAGCTTCCTTTTACAGGAGTAGCATCAGCAAGATCTCAAAATGCTTCTAAAGAATCTCCTTACAGAGAAAAAGAGGATCAAGTCATAAGACAAGGGTATTTCTACAAGCAGCAATAAGACAAATATAGGAAAATTTTAGTGTAGAGTACTGTGACATACACAATATAAATGAATCTATTCTTCATTCAGCCTCATGGACTTGGATTTCTGTTTGTAGCTTGTAGTGGTAAGCCTAACAGCATTATTGCATTCACATGCCACTGCCACAGTAGGTTTAGAGCTCCTGTAGTATTAGCACTCTAGCCAAATTCCCCTACAACCTAATAGAAAACTTCTAAGAAATATTATTTCCTTAATAATTCCCTTTAAATACTGATGCAGAGCCAGCACAAGGCTTCTTCCTTGCTGTAGCACTGGCAAAGTGCAGTGATCCAAATTAGCCAAAGTATCTTCATAAAATACCTTCCATGAAGCATGAATGTGACACTAACAGTTTAGCACTTGTCTGGACCTGGAAAGACAGCAAAGCCAGAAAACAGCTATTTCCCAAGGGCTATTTTACTGCACTGCAAACTCACTCTGAGTCATAATAATCCATAAACACACAAACAATTTGGTCTCTTCAGCTGTTTTGAAGAGTTGGATTTCATTCCTTAATGGGGAAAATAGATCCTCTTATTTGGTTATTCTACAGTAATTCTAGTTTTCTTGGATAGCACTAATGCATGGTTTAGTGCTTAGTTTCTGCTGCCTTCAGCATCCTGCTTCATTCAAAGCAGAGGAGAAGCAGCATTAACTTATCTTAGAAATTATTATTCCTACACTCTTACCTCAAAAACAAGCTCAAAATTGAGCTTGGGGATTTAATGTAAGAATATTTCAGTGAGAGCACCATAGCCATGCCCTAGGTATTTCTCACCTGCCTCTTCTACTTGGAGAACTGCACAAAGGCCTCTTCCCATCCAAACTACAAGTGGGAGTAGAGAGCCCTCACCAGGAAAAGCTGGCTTATTTCTGCCCTCCCTGAAGCCTGTGTGAGGATTCCAAAGGGCTAAAAAAGAAGGGGGACAGAAACTCCTCTGCTTACTGATACAAACCTCCAGGCAGAAGGTTTCTTCAAAATATCTTTGCAATGAAGAGGAATGGCAGGCAGATAAAAAATAAAATAAAATGACAATAGCCAGAGGGTAGGGTCCCACCTCCAGACACAAACACACCCAGCTCTCTCTTTGAGCTGCAACAAGCCAGAGCACTCAGTAGAATTAACATGTGAACCTTCATCCTGTAAAGAAAACCTGAAAAGATTTCTCAGAGAACAGGGAGCGAGAGAGGTGGACTGGGGTTAACCTCTTGTGGTGCACCTGACCCTCTAGTCCCACCTGATGTTCAGATGCTTTTGCTTCTCAAGCACAGACAGCAGCTCCTGTGGCTTTCAGGCCATTTTTCTTGCCCCTCTGGGTGCTCAAAATCAGAGCAAGCACAGAAGTGGCACATGTAAGAGTTACAAAGAAATCCTGAACCCCACTTCCATGGGCTGTGCTCAAACCTTGAAAGACTGCATTTTGTAAAGAGCTTTCTTCATACATTTACAGTTTTTCTACATTTACAGTTTTGTCAAAATTGTTATAAAACATTTATTGACAGTACAAACAGAAGAAATTTTTGTAAACTGAAATTAAAGCAGAAAATGGCTTTAAGTCATTTTTGACCAGCCAGCTGTACAAAAGCTTAAGCAAAGCAGCAGTTAGGGAGGATGGGTTTGGAAGAATCCACAAGGAGTTCAGGAGATGTCATGCCTTATTAGATCACCAAAATAAGCTGTTATTGTCTTCAGTTTGTTATTGAGAAAATTTTGTTCTATTTCAACTTTCCCTCCTGGCCCTGCTAAGGAAGCCACCTGAAAAACAAAGAACAAAAATTAAACCAATCAGTGTACAGGAAAAGAGGCAAAACCCCAAACCTTCTAAAGCACAAACAATCAGAAAAAATATCTGTGCTCTGTTAATACTGGTGGAAAATGTTCCTTGGCAGCTAATGCCTCTGATCCTCTTTTTATGTCTCCTTTTACTCACAGAAGCCGTTTGTGGCTTGTGACTGAAAAACCTTCCTCACCCAAATCACGAAAACAAGAGGATTTCAGAGCCAAAGCGAAACACTCAGAAGTTGACATGCTGTGCTGAGGCAAGAGATGCTAAACTCTGGTTTGCATGGTACTTGGCATTTGAGACGTGCCAGTATAGCAAAAAGCAACCTATAACCTGTGCTTGAAAGATGTCACATCCCAAATGTTGGGGGAAGAGTAAAACCAATTTTAGTAATTAGAATTTGGAAGCATAAAGGTGGCACTGAAGAGTGGCAGGGTGGAAAGGAACACCCCAAACAAATCCAAGCCCCAAATATGCAGAGAAACTCACAAAAAAAGGTCACAGTTAATCGCTGTTTCTATTGCAACCAAAGAAAAAGCTGCTGTCTGCACTGGAGTCGCAGGCAGTGCTGAGGGCAAGGCTGGGGCAGCAGTGCCTCTGCAGGCTGGGGGAGCCTGTCAGGCAGCACCGGTCCCAGCTTTGCGTTTATGATCACTGCAGTGAGAATTTCACCATTCATGCTCTGTTGGACTGAGCTTGGTGCACACATTTAATGCTTAATATTTACAGACAGACACCATTTCACAGAGGACTTTGCATTTTGGACTGGAGCATGCAGTATTCTCCCCTCTCCTGCTCCTATTCAGGTTGCCTCTGAGGGATAACAGCTTACGGCCATCAATTCTTCATCAGGAGAGACCGCACAGTCAGAAGGACAAACTTCAAAACTGAACATTATCAGCTCAGCTTTTTTCCACTCCACTTTGGACCCTGAGGACCTGTCCTGTGGGGGGAGTCCATGCTCCACAGCCAGTTCTGCTCCATGCTGCCATTCTCCCAGGCTGCTGCAGGAAAATTGTTTCTATATTTCCCCATGCAGGGAAATTCCCAGGCAAAGTTATCAGGGTCTACAAGCCTGCAGTAGATTTTAAATCATCTTTAAGCAGAGATGATGTTAGCAGCTGAAACTTTAAGTTCAAGCTGTGTTATTAACACTTCTAAAGCCCCTTGAGACTTGACTCTGTAGTGCAGGTTTAAATATAAACATGTTGAACTTCCTCTATTTTATCGTGAGTAAAAAAACAGCTTACTATCAAGAGAAAATAACAGATTAATTTAAACTACACTTTGAACCTTAATTGACTTGTTCAGAAAACTGCCACACTTATCTAAATCAAGCATTTACTTTTCTGTTTTGATTTTCTCCCTTTTAATTTTTTTTGTTTTTGCAGACAAAAACAAAAGTGTGAGCAGTTTCTTCATCCTTCAGCTTCTGGTGATAGGAAAAAACGCTCCGCGTTCTTGTCAGAGAGGAACCTGCCACTTAAGTAAAAAACCAGAGGCTGGCTGACTTATAAATAGCACAAGAATCTAAAACTGGCAAGTGATCAGGAATGTTAATTTTACAACTTATCTGTTCTTACTTGAAATCCACAAAGCATTGTGGGTTGATCCATAGTTTTTCTAGGAAGATGTTAACTTTTGATTTTTTACAAACAGCAGCTGGAATGTCCCTTCCAAAAAGCATTAAGAGGTTTTGCACTTTATAGCTGATGTCACTTAAGTATTTTAAAATATCAATTGGATTAGTCAGTATAAGAATACAGAAATTAGTGTATTGGGGTTATGCACTCCTGCTTTCTGGGCACAGTTTGTGCCACTAGCATATCTAAGTATGACTAATGCATTGATATTAAACACTAGTATTTACTAAACATTTCTCTTAAAAGGCCAAGTAAAACAAGATGCCCCTACACTGATGGGTGGTATCCACCAAGGGACAGCTGAAAATTTACAGAGGCTGTGTCTAAGTGTTGAACCCAGGATAACTATGATTAATTTCAAACAATGAAACATTGGGTATTTGATAGACCCAATGGTGAAAAAAAAATTAAATAAACACACGGGAATAAGCTGTGCTGTGACAGATCTGGTACTGTACGCTCTTTAACACGCCCGATACACAGAGGAGAGAAATGCAAATCCTCTGTGACAATGCTTAGTTTTAAATTGCTGGAGGTTGCAGATTTAATTACGTAGGAGTTGCCAAGTTTTCCTCAGCAGGGCTCAGACAACCCCGACAAGTGTAGTGAGGGAAGGCTGCCAGACACCAAGCTTCAGAAGGGTCTGGCCTGGCAGAGGGACACCCTCTAAAAATAACAGCAGATTGAGGAATGATGCTTTGAGAAAAACAAAGGTGCTCAGCTATTTTTAGAGATACCAATAAACATCTCCTGTTTTTGCAGTGCACTATAATGCTGAATACAGAAAGGCTTCTTAATTTCTTTTAAAAACTTGACTAGTTCAAAATGTATTTGTTTTGCACTTTCTTGTGTACATACAGTGATTCCCTGCTGGCAACTCTCCTTACCCTGGTTTATTCTTTAGTCCAAACCCACATTACCGGGGTGGACAGATATTGCCTCCTTTGCTGCGCTGCTGTCCCTAGGCAGAGGTAAAGGCTGCAACTTCATTTAACACCTCCCTGCATCCCTCTCACCTTCATCCTTCAGTTCAGTGACTATTGCTAAAAAGAGTCCACAGCTACAGCCACAACCAAAACACATCAAAAAAGCAGCCAACAGGTTTGAAAAGGAGACATCAGAAAAGATGAAAATATGAAAGGGGAAACAAACATAGAAGATTACTTCAGGAGCACAAGTTGCTTGAGGTGCAAACTTCCCTTACATTTTTCAAGTGTACTTTTGATCTTTAAGGTTTTCCTACTGGTCTTGGGGTTTTTTTTACATTTTTTAATCATACTGAAACTCTTTTAGTAAAGTAACTTCCCATCTGTTCCAGCCACCAACTAATATAACTGTGGACAAAAAACTTACCATATTTTTTTCTTCCCTCCTAGAAACTTTTCTGAGGTATGAAAAGTACAAGTTTTTTGACTTGACATGCAGTAACACAAGGACGCTGTGAATCAATTAATTTTATAGAATACTACTAAAATGAAGAATCCCCTCCCCCTGTATTCAACCTAAAAGCTAAGGGGAACAAAACCCAACCCACCTGAAAAAGAAGAAAATGGTATTCTTTGCACTGAACACAATAAAATGCTCTCAGGCAGGATTTTTGAAAGTGTACAGATATGCATGTGAATAATGACACCATCACAGTGGTGCTGTCACCCTTTAACAGGCCAGACATGCATTTATTTTTTTCTTACTTTGTGTAGGAAAATTATGATTCAGTATGCAAGCGTTATGAGCTTTAGGAAGACTGAAGTTCAGAAGTATCACTCTGGCTTGGTGTATACTGTGGGTAACTTCTGGCTTTCTCTTTCATCAAGGACAGAGAAAACACCTGAGTTTCAAGTGGGCTGCTTAAAAGCTGTTGTTATTAACACAACAGTCACAGCTGAAGTGTATGCAATTACATTCACTTAGAAATTATCAGCCTCCAAAACACATCAAGCCATGGTCTTTTACCTGCCAACTCCCCTAATACCTAAGCATCTTAAAAATACTATCAAATCAACCTCTGTTCATTTATTGGCCTCTCACTCCCTGCTTTGCTCACTGTTCTATTTACTCCTAAAGAAAGATTACTCTGCTCGGCAAGTCCTATTTGGCTAGTCTCCATTTTAAAATATAACAGGTGAAAGAGAGAATTCAAATAAATAAATGGGTTTTACTCATCTTCACACTCCCTTCACTGAGCAGTCATTTTTAACAACTGGTCCTTCACAAACAGAAACACGGCAACACAGAAACATATTTTTCCATCCAGGCAGTATATTGCAGACAGAACAAGGCCTCAGTTTCTAATTCCAGATTTTTCTCAAAGTGATTGATGGAGATGAGGTGAGAACAAAGAAAATAAAAAAAAGTACCGCATAATGTGTATGTTTTGTAGGACCATCAAGGTCCAGAACACTTTGCTTAATTCTAGGTTCATAGAACTACTCTACACCAGACAAGAAACAAAAAGCCATTCCTGTATTCTGACAGTATTTGAAATAAAAGCCATGTCTGAGACACCAACATTTAGGACCGCAAAACCTCCAAACAACAGCACAATTTGACAAAATGAGACACAGCTACCATAAACAACAGCATGCCTGTCTTCAAAGAATGGGGATGTTTTAAACGATCGCTAAGGCACCATCCAGTATCTGAGCTGCTAACCATGCACAAGTAGGATAAGTAATAACCTCCCAATTCCCCATTACTCCATCTCCCAAACCTGGCTAGGCTCCTAAAGCTGCTGATGTGGTTATCTGTCTCACAACAGACCAGGTCACCAACATTTCAGGCTCACCAGTTTATTCCGGGGAGCCATCATGCATTCTGACAACATTGCGACCATCAGTAACTGAGTACCACTTCCACATCGGGATGAAAAGAACAGATTCCACCATTAGCAAGAAGGTCCTACAGCAACAAATTGCAGGTTCCTCCTTCTTTGCTGCAAATATTAACATGCAGAAGTATTATCTGGTACAGAAAAGAGTCTGTGAAAGAGATTGGACTACCTGGCATGACTCCATTTCCTAGAGGTGAGTACACACTTCTCACTCTGCCCAGTGAGGCAAAGCACAGCTTCATAAACACTTCATAAATTACATTTATGAACTACATAACAGGCAGTGATAAATATACATATTTTTCAATGTATGTGTACACACATAATAATTATTCCTCATTATTCCTAGCTAGAAAGAATATTGTTAAAGATTAATTCAACCTAAAACCAGACTTGCATACATTTCAAATTTTCTAACATGTTTGTAAACAAGGAGACATGCAATTCAGGGAAATGTTTTTATATTTCTTGTAAATGAACCAACCATCTTGCACTGGTTCGCTGCTCCCTCTTGAGGCAGAAGTACAAAAGTTCACTTCTCTGAGACCTAAACTCCGTTGATTGTTTTAAAGGGAATGCAAAGAGTCCCATTTCACTCAACAAGACCAACTCCACACTGACGTGGCCATGTCTGCAGAAGAAGTAAGTGCTGTTTTTGCAATAAAGTCAAGTGGAACAAGGCTGGATATTTTGTCTACCAATAAGGCAATGAACGCCAAGTCCTCTGACACAGCTAGGGCAAGGTCAGCTACCACCCTGCTTTCCCCCCAGCAGCAGGATCCCTGTACCCCTATTTAATGTCTGCTATGTAATAGTGATCTGATAGCTATCTTTCATAAAAATTACATATTTTCCACTAAACTTGAACCACCTTAACTAATGGTTAAAGTTTTTTTTTTATTGCAAGATTGCTTCTAACTACTGGGTTTTTAAATTTTTTTTTTTAATTTATTTTTTATTTTCATTTTGCTGGAGATTCACAGCCCTGGAAGTGTAGTGGCAGAAAATTCAGAAACTTCATTCTTAAATACAGCCAGAGATTTTGGTAGTCAAACCCATAATAGTCTTCTGTGAACCAGAGTATTCACCAAGGTCATGTTTAGGACATGTTTGACACACCTCTGTCAACACAGGATGAAGACACTTTCTTAAACAGTGGGCTTGATTAACATTCTCTTTCCCCCTCTCAGATCATCAAACTTTTGGGTTATTTTTGTTTTAATACTGCCACTATTTCTCAAGAAAGGCATAAGGAGCTGATTTCACTTCCTGAGAGTAGCCCATAGCCTGGAACACTGAACTGAACAGAACTGAGGACCTCAGCCATGAACTTTTAACAACTGAGCCATGTTTTTGAGCAACAGCTGTTAGTCTGCAGCTACCTGTGTTAAACCAAACCCATGGATGTAATCAACATTATTCAGAGCCAACTCCACCAAGACGTAGAGACGTAGAGATGATACCTGGCCCAATCACCCAGAACCCAGCTCTTCTGAAGAAAAAAGTGCAGGCCTGTGGGGAGTACTCCTGCATGCTTTTGTGGAAACAGAAGTGAAATGTAGATGCCTTTGGCCATTTAGAAAGCCAGTAAAAAGTGCTCATGAGTAGAGCAGAAAACTCTCTAAGGTCACTCTTCATCATGGGAATGAAATATTTGATAAAATGCAGTGTTAGAACACGATGTTGTAATTAGAGAAACTCTACCTAAAATTAAGGTCCCTGTTCAAGGATTCATAAGCCAATTTGACATTTCACCAGCCTGAAATGCAAAACGGAATTGAATAATCACCTGCCAAAGCTATGGTGCTGTGCACAGCATGGACTTAAGAGTCTGCTAATACTCAGGCCATGCGAATTTCAGCCTTTTTCTCAAGCCAGCTGTTTGTCAGCAACAATTCCACAAGCCACCATATGGCCTGATGCCCTGCCTACACTAAGTCAGATGCAGTTTTTGGAAAAGCAGGAAGAAGTCCTGGGAAGTCCAGTGCACCTTGCCTGTGAGAACTGCTTCCTTCCTTCCAAAAAGCTAGAAGACATAATTAACATAGAAAGTACACAGAGGAAACTAAACCAGACACTCAGGGGAATTGTTAGTCATGTAACTGCTTAAAAAAACCCAAAACTTCTACCAAAAATCTCTAATACAAAAAACCCCACATCAGTGCCACAAATTCTGTGTTTATCACACATCACTTCAGTGCAAGCAGCCTATAAGGAACCACACACCTGTGTACACCAACAGTACCACCCTGGAGGGCAGTGACTGTAGGCTGTGATTTCCTGCAACTCCTTTTACATAAACTGACAGCCATGGAGTCTGAGACTCACCAACTTATCAGATAGTGAGAGCTGGTTAAAATATATTTTTTGATATTTTTATAATTATGTATGTGCCTAGTAATTTGGCTTTGAAACTTCTACAAGAAACTCCATTCTGTTGCTTTAAGAAGAAACAATGTCAAAACCATGGAAATAATCTTCTACTCCCATTTGTAAATATACCAAAAATACTGCAAACACAGAAATCACTTAACACAAGGGTTAAATTTAAAAACACAAATACCCCACATTCAGCTGAACAGACTTAAAAGTCTTATGTATGTGTTTATAATACTTATGTTTTAAGTCAGCTGAGCATTTTATTCATTACCAAGACCTCATCCAGTAACACACCTGGTTAATATCAGCATTCCGAGGCAGAAAATACACAATATTGTTGGTGATCTTCTTGGAGAGCCTGAAAATTTCAAATGTAGAAGCTAGTAAAGGAAAAAAACAAGAATGGGGAAGGAAAAGTTTCTTTATATTGATTCATTTTGAAAGTATGTCTCAATTTCAGCTATTATACAATTAAATTGTAGTTAATCTTTTGAGTGTGTGGGTAGGATTCTCTTCTGAAATGCAGAAACTCTATTTCACCATAAGTGCCCTAAAAGTAGAAAAATACCCCCAACACTCACTTTTCATGAAAATTTAACAGAACAACAGAGAATTATTTGACAAATTTGAATGTTTGTAGCTAGTATATTTGGCTTACATTTGTTTTTTAATCCACTTTGTGATATCTCTCACACATTTTAGCAAAAAAGGGACCAAATTAACATCATTCTGTGACAAAAGAAACCCCACACTTAATATATAATGAAACTATTATGTTAATACCTTCCCAGATGAATGAGTGCTCAGTATCACTGTTAATAAGCTAGTATGCAATTCTATATTAATTAAAAGAGTTAATATTTTGCTTGCACTCTTCTGTGATTTCCCAAGTCACAGGCAGGTGCTATGACTGAGAACAGTTTTAGTAAGGTATTTTAAATGAGGTATTCCCTTTATGAATCAATTAAAAAGTAGAATTAACGACAAGGTCATAGTTCACACAACCAGTTTTTATTTTATCTATCTCTCTATCTCTCTGTATATATACACACACACACACACCACGTCAATTTGATTGCTATGTGGTATTTTAATAAAATAATTTAAAGGAGTTAAAACTGCTGAATTAATGTTTCAAGTTGAGAGCTACTCAATACACTGATGGATTTCTTGCTTTCAGGAAAATCTCATCTTTTTTTTGGCAATAAAAAATAAAAATATTTCAATTTAGGTGTGAAGAGGACTAAACAAATGATTTGTATCTGGAACTCCAGCTGCCGGCCGTATCATCCACAGTCGGCCAACTGGGCATGCAAACCCCACGGGAAGAGAGGGAGGAGAGGAAAGGGAGAAGCCCAGCACAAGGCATAACCCGGAAAGGATATCCATCTGGGCAGATCATGGTTTGGATGTCGAAGATTTCGGCAGTGGCGTAGTCGGGCCCGCCCCAGGGCGGGCTGAGGAACACCACGTCGGCGCGCAGGCCGGCCGCCAGCGCCATGAAGTCCCCGCACAGGAAGTCGATGTGCTCGGCCACGCCGTACACCTCGGCGTTGTGCCGCGCCAGGCACAGCTTCTCGGGATCGATGTCGATGGCGATCACTGCCCGTGAGAGACGGCCAACACTGGGATTAACGGGAAGCGGGAATGCCGCCCGACTGGCGGCAGGGCACCGCGGTCAGACACTGCTGCTGAGACAGCCCCACGCAAGGCTCAAGGACCAGACATGGCACTGTCTGCCTAAGAGAGCAAGTCCTTCTTGCCTCAGGTTGGGCAGGAGCCTGACAACTTCAATGGTGTCCATTAGAAACTTACTCTTCACTGTTAAAGAGAAACATTTATCTGTGGCTGGCCACATAGTTCTGAAAATTGAGTTGATAAAGCTCCAACCAACAAAGCCCAAGAGATAGATGACACAAGATTTGTACATAATACAACAGAAATTAAAATTGAGCCAGGAAATACAAAAAGCCAAGTGAGATGTATAGACTGGATCATAGCCTACTAAATTTAATGCAGTAGAAACTACTATTTGTCTTGCTCAAACATTAGTCAGAAGAGTTACATAAAATGGGATGAGTATCTACCAGGAAATATTTTTACAGGAAGTACTCTCAACATTTCACTAAAATATCACTAGCTGGCATTAGACTAACATGAAGTTATCATCACTTTTGTGTACTGAGTTCTGCAGAATCTCCAGGTGATTCCATTCAGTGCTTTAAGTACTGTTCACATGGAACCTGTTTTTTTTTTTGAGTACATAGACTAAGTAAGAACTGGGAAAAGCAGCAGCTTTGACAGAAGTCCACTTTTACCAGTGATCTCCACAGTATCTGACAGACCAGATATTGTGCCACACAAAAACAGCATTGACTAGTACAGCACAAACCCGACTTTGACTTAAAATAGAAAAGCAGATTTATTGGTCCTTTTTGAAAACAGAGAGGTCATATTGTGAGTCTGATGAAGTGAAACAGCTGCTGTTGCTACAGAAGCACCGAAAAAGAAAATAAATCATCAAACAGAGCAGATACCTGAATAGTGTCAGGAAAAAGATTGAAGACACAAAACTAATGCACTGTTTACAACACCTACTTACCTCTTTTTGAGGTCAATGCAAACTGAATAGCATTTCCTCCAACCCCGCAGAACGCATCCACTATGATGTCGCAGTTGAACGACTGACTGACGCGGACGGCAATATGCTCAGCTATTTTCTCAGGAGTAACAGAAAACCAGCCCTCTGCAGAGGAAGGGGAAGAAATGTATTTTAACCTCTCATTTCAAGGTCACCTAATTTAAAAACAAACAACCAAGCCCCACATAAAACTGAAGGTTTAGCATTAATCCCAAGAATTTTGGCTTAGTGCATTCCACCAGGAAATACCGGCTTTGAAGACGATAAACTCTGCTCAGTCCAGAGATTTGCTAAGCAAACAAAGTCTAACTGAAGCAAACTGATATGCCTTAATCTCAGTACATGCTTTGTTGACCTTGCTGCTGCGGATTCTAGTTTATCAAGGAGAAGTCCACGAGCACAGCTATGAAAAACTTTATACATCGTGATGATGCTCTGTAGGAAATGAAACCAGAAATATATTCCTTTATCCATCATTTTATTTTCTTCACCACACTGTCTGGTCTGCGAATTAATCTGCAACTTTATGAGGGAAAGCATTAGAAATTGAAGGCTTACAAACCCAACCAACAAAAAATACCTGGTAACCCTAATTCCTCCTTTACCTATTAATTTATGATTTGAAGTGCTTTGCAAGTGACTGCTGCAAGTCAGAACAAAACAGAATGAAACCAGATCCATCAGCATACTTGGAAGTTTCACAAAATTATTTTATAAAATATAGAAATAGAAAAATACCACTGAGTTTCTGAACATGTCCTGACAAAGTATAATTTGATAAAATCTTCAGCAAATGTAAGGACTAATGCAGACAGGGATGTCCCACACTAAAAGCACTTCTGAAGTCCAAGACTTCTACCAGCCTGTTGGGGGGATGGGGGGGAGGAATTTACCCATGGGTGCAAACACACATTCAGTAGTGCTCCTCCTTTAAGAAAATGAGTAATAAACTGCAAGAAGGACCACAGATTTGGATAGATCCTCACATATACCACCAAGTCAGCACACTTAGTAATGAACACACCTCTGTCTAGTTTAATTCCCTCATCAAACCGGGAGAAGAGCCGGTAGCGTTGTGCCCAGTATTTGAGGAGCTCTGGATCAGCAGCAATTTCAGGAGGTATAGTTCTCAGTGCATTTTTATTCCTCCTCCTCCTTTTTGTCTCCTTCTTCTTCACAGTAATTTTTTCATCCACAGCTGGAAGATACTGCAAAAGTTAAAAGTCACTGTTCTTGTAGGCTAGGGAATGTAATTGGTAGGGAGTGTTAAGATTTAAAAACATTGCTAAATGTTCTTTGTTACTGTTTGCCAGATTATGAAGATTAGAAGCTTTAAATTAAAAAAAAAAGCATTCTGTATTTCAGGGGACTAGTCACAGTCCTAAAAATCGACACGGTTCACCCATTATTTAAGGGCCTGAATCTTCAACTGGAGACAATAAACTCTATGTAATGATGAAACAAGTGGCTCAGCGACCAGTTTAATGCCCTTTTATCAGCAATGAATAAAAACCAATCTAGACAAGAGTTTTACAGTAGGAATCTAACATAACTGAACTACTGTAGGAAGGATTAAATTATATGTAAAAACCTGAATAATCCTGCTTTCCTTTGTTTCATGTTAAATACAAAAGTTCATAATACTGATTTTTTTTTAAATCCTATAAAATAATTTTAACAACATATGCTCCCTAGCGCTCGGCAATGTGCATTTGAACACAAAACTTGACAGTCTGTGCTACCTGAGGTTTAATCACCCTCATCCTTGCAAAGTGTAAAAAAGATACGAATTGCAAACCTGTTAGACCATGTCGAGGATAAACTGACTGTTCATCTATAAAGAAATACTGTCACCATTAAAGACAAGACCTGGGATTCTGGCATTCCAGAAATAAGCTCATTCCACTAGCAGAGCTCTCAATTGCTTTCATTACCCCTCAGACCTAATGAGTCTCATTAAAATTAACAAAATAAATAAGTAATGCGTGACACAGTAACTTGAGAAGGCAGTATTAAGTCCACTGCCAATTCATTTCATCAGTTTGCAGGAAACTGATTTACCTTGGCTGATGTTCTCTGTCTCTGGCTGGAGATAATCAGGAATATCCAGAGGGACAAGCTGCCGCCCACCGCCACGCTCGGGCCTGCCTGCCCCCTGCTCATCGCAGCCACTCGCCGCAGCGTCCTGCACCTCCTCCTCAAGCTTACTCCCTCCAGCTTCTGTGCAGGCTGCACTGGAAGATGGTGGCTCCTGGATTTCAGCATCCAGCGTCGCACTCTGTGTGGCAGCAATGCCCTCCTGACCCTCTGAGTCGCTGCTGCTCACAGACGATGCCTCTGCTTTACCCTGAGGGGTGCCTGTCTGGGATGTGGCTTCCTCCTCAGGTTTACTGACCTGCTTCAGGAACATTTCCACCTGCAATTGTCAAATATCACAGATGATCAGATCTGTTATCCAGAGCACAGCTTAAAAGCCTTACAGTTCAAAAGCACTTGCCACTGCAGGTACTCTCTACTGTGTGTATTTTGAAAACACTAAAATATCCAGACTCAAAACATACAAGTAGTCCTTAACTATTCTCCCTTTTACAAATATTTAGAAACAAGTTGTCTTTGGGAACTAGATGCCAGCTACCTCCAAGAGGTAGCAAAGAGCAACAAAAAATCAACCAACCAACAAAAATGATCAACTGATAAATACAGTAATAAGTCTCACGTAATATCTGAATAGTCACACTTGCCACAGCCCAGGTGACCAAGTTTACTATTTCACAGCTATCTTTCTCTAATTTGCTTTCAGAGATGTACTCTACCTCTCAGGGAAGAGTTTTTTAGCATAAACAAGTAAAATTACCTTCACACATTTGTTGCCTCACCTTCAAGATGTACCAAATGGTGCAGATGGTAAAGGGTTCTGCTGCACAGCAGAGTTCGACATAAGCTCCTAACCAACGCACAGACACCTCTCCAAACTCCTCAAAGGCACATGCAGATGCTCCTTTTTACATTATTGTTGCTCTGAGTGGCTCTAGACCTGGAGGAGTTCCTTACCTGGAAGTCTGAGGAAATTCATAACTTTTTTCCCTTCAATAATTAAAGCTGCCCTCAAACTATATTGGTCCCAGGTACAAAATCAAAAATTAATCAGAAATTATAGCAATGTGACTGGAGTTCAATAAAATATGTATGGCATCACCACCACCAGAAAACAGTGCTTTGCACTTGGATTTTGGGGAATGCCAAGCATCCCAGAAGGGGAAATAACATTAAAATCTGTACCCTCACATTTTCAGAAAGACTTTACTAAGTAAAATCTGCAGTGAACATGTTTCTACTTCTTAGCAATTTCTAAGTTAAAAAAAAAAAGCATAAAGTTTTAGATGAAAATAAATGCAGGTAGCAAAACCCTTTCCAAATTACTAAAAATGTGGAGTTACATGAAATACACTAATCTACACAAAGATTTTCTGTTACTACTGAAATGCCAGCATTAACAACTGGCTTCACATGCAATTTACAATGAAAGCTACTTTTAGTAACAACAAAAACCTACACACACCTCTAAAGCTATGTGCACCCAGATGTTAGGAATAACTTTCACATAACTTGGCCATTTAAGATCGCATTCCTTTTGACAGGGTCTACCAATGCCTTTCCATAGCCATCCTAATCTAAATACTTTTCACATCGGTGGGAGGCAGAGAGGAGGGGGAGAAAACAAGAAAAAAAAGAAAAAAGGAGCAGTGGACTGACATTTAAAAATGCCATCTACTCTGGGCAATTAATATTTTTTTTTCATTTTCATAATACAACAACAGCTAAGGTAACAGAAAAATCTACAAATTACAATAGTGTTAAAAAATAAACATACCTTCTTCAAAGTTTTGCTTTTTTTGCATGTCATTTCAGATTCCTCTGTAAAGAAGATGTGTGTGTTTTTGCTTTTCCTTGGTTTACGCATATCCAAGAATTTGGACTTGAGTTTTGCTTTTTTCTCCAAGTACTGCACACTTCGGTGGGTGAAATTTGGAATTCCACCATACCTGAAAATAGACAGACAGATACATACATTCATAAGGACTTAGTTGGTTAATTTCCAGTTTAGAAGCTTTAACATGAATGTTGATGTTTACAAAAATATTATTTAGACTTAAGTATTTTTTTATTGCTCCATTTAAAATAGGCCTGAGTGTAGTTGCAAAACATTGTACCTTCACAAAAATGTTAAAAATTTTTATTTGAAAATGTTTAACCTAATTAGTTTTAGATTTTTTTTTTCTAGTAGTTGTATAACTTTAGATGAAAACAATTTCCCGGGCCAGCCTGAAGAATAGGAAATGAAAAAAATATCTTGATTAGAAGAATAAAAGATCTTTTTGGTGGCTGTCAAGAACCCCCAAAACAGCTACTTTTACCTTCTGGCAAATGTAATTAAAAAAAACCAACCAACTATAAAAAGCTTCACTGGCCAACACCTGGCAATACTTTGCTAGTATGGCAATATTTCACTAGTATAAAGGAACTTCATTCCATATGAAACAGTTAAAAATCATGATCTCAGCCCACAGGACTCCAGACTGAGAGGACCATTCATTGTCAGAGCCTTTGTGTTCTAATTTAAGTAGCTGACCAACCACTTAACATTTATACAACTGAAAGTATCTCACATGTTACACCTTAGTGTAAAACGTATGGTACTGTCAGTTGAATAAATGATTCCCAGAGACTAACTCTGGGAATCAGCTTCAAAAGTTTAACAAAACGGAAATGGAGATGATTGGTCTATTTCCATAAAAACAAGATGGATGACTTGCTATGAAAAGCCCCACAGTTCCTTTTAAGTAATTACTTTTGTCCTGTGCCACACTTGAAACCCAACACAGAGCAGGTTTCCTCAGGATCTTCCACTGGGTTCTCATCCATATCCAGCTCATGGCTAGAAAAAAACACAAATGACGAAGTCACTTACTGTGAAGAAACCAATCATTTTACAGCTTTACCACTAAAAATCTTGCAAACTGAAAACATTTAAATGTGAGCTTCAAATAAGTTCCTCCACACACTGCTGAAACCAAACCAAGCAAATAACACCACTCTATTCTTGTGCATGAATTTTTGGCATGGTTTGGTTTTTTTACTCAATTCTGTGGACATATGCCCTTCTACTGGGGTATTATAACTGGGGTTGTAATATTCCAACTATTCTGAATGACTTCTTAAAATACTTAATGGCAAACCCTACATGATGAAGACAGTGTTTGTTCACCCTGTTTCTAAATTATCTTCATCATCTACCACGTTATCTATATTATTTATTATTATCTATTATTAATGCTGTGGCAACAGCAAAATACTAGAATGAAACCACAGCTATGTGACTAGCAGGTAACAATTCCACCCACTCCTTCACATTTGAGCCTGCAAATTCATTGGAGAGGAAGAGCCACCTCACCATCTTTGAGACTATATATTTTTAAAGAAGAAAGAAAAAAAACCATGACAAGGCAGATACTGTCTATTTTATGCCTGCTATAGCTCTGAGCATTTTACTGGCAGCATTCAATGCAGTTAAACGAAACAGATTATTTACTGTTGTTCTGGTATTTTCTATACTAATTAGACCTAAATAAGCAAGCTGCCATATGCAATTTAACAATCTTGCACACTTCAGTGGCACAAGAATAGCACCATCACCTTGTACAGTCATCAAGGCCTTACATTGTTTTCATAAAGCACTGGAAGAGAGGAAATATCCACTGCTTGTTGTGAGGCAAAGCAGTAAGCAGTGATGGAAGACTATGTGGCTTTGTACTGACATTTTAACTCTATCCTCAATCAAAGGTATAGTTGGTATAAATCAGAAGGCTCCTGGAGCTGGACTGCATAAGAAAAAAGCTCATGTAAATTTCATGACTTGCCTTCTCTTGACTTTGACACATCTGTATTCAGGAGGCTCTTCATCCTCATCTTCATCTTGGTCATGAAGCAGCAACTGCTTTTTTTCACTTGAATTCGAGCTACATGACTCCTGCAAACCTAAAAAAAGATACATCATATTTTCCTTCTGCATAAATCAGTTCCTTACCTTCCTGTCCCCAAAGAACCCCTGCAGCTACAGCTAGTCAGTATGTGCCAAACACACATCTTTACTTGTCTTTGTTTGAGGGACAACATACTAATAAAGCTTCCAGTATTACACAGTAGTGTTAACAATCTTATGAAGTACCTACTTCAAATTATCTCATCTCTCCATGAAAAATAAAATGCCTACAAGATACAAAATTTGAAACAGTTTCTCCTTGTGTGTAAACTTTGTTTTCCATCTCATTAGCTACGCAAAGATATTCACACAGATTTAGAAAGGGAAGATTTAAACAGTCCTCTCATTTCTTTTTCAAAAGGAGATCTTCTTTTCACTTCTCCCATTCCAGCTCTACTGTAGGACCAAGCTGGGACCACATCTGCTTCCTCCTCCCTTAGAAAGTCACTAGCAGCAGACTTAAGTCTCAGCTGCAGTATCAAGACTAAGATAAATAATTAAATATGCACTAACAGGGATCTCTCACCAATATCTGTAGTACATCTGAAGATTTATGAAATACATTTTCTGTTAAAAGCATTTCTGGCTGAAGAACACATGCAATATACAGGTTCGAGAGGAGAAATCATCCAAAGAAGCAAAGGGAAGAAAAAGGAATTGAGTATGTAATCATTCCACAAAATACTTAATTGACATTTTAAAAATGGCATAATACAGACATGCCCTTGTTTCTTACATACAACTACCTAGAGAATTCTGATAATCAACTTTATCTGACTTTGTATTACCTGACTGGTTAACACTCTTATTTTCACAAGATGCTCTCCTTTTTCTGCTTCCTCCATCACAGGGCTCCTTCTCGCTTCCACTGTCAGATGAACTCTGCTCTTCAGCATCTTCATGGGCTACTGTTAGAGCAGCACTACTCTGCTCCACTTCCTCCAAATTCAGATTTAAATTACAAATCCCAAAGATTATTTCACTGTGGGGCTCAGCACTTGAAGGGAGCGTTTCCTCACTTCTGGTGTTGGAGGGAGACAGCTCCAAGCTCAGCACTTCATTGTGGTCAGGTCCCGGGCTAACCAAGCCCATTTCTCCTGAAAATCCAGTCTCCTGTGTAACCCCATTAATTTCCACCTTGTCACCATGTGAGCTCTCAGTAGTCCATCCTTGACTTGTCCAGTACTGAAACTGTTCCCAGTAATACCAGTACAGCTCACTATAATGCTGCTCCCATTCTTCCTTAGTATCTGGACTACTCCAAGGCTCAGAGGCTGTGATGCCCTCATATGATGAGACCTTCTGGTGCTTTTCCAACCAACTTTGCCAAAGAAGGCCTTCTCCATACTCATTCCAGTACTTCTCCCATTTTTCCTTAAGTCCACTGGATAAAGCCTCACTTGCAAGGCTTTCTGAACTTTCACAGTTCTCTTCAATTACAGCCTGAGGTTTGCTGCTCATCTCAAATTGCTCTGTAGCTAGGGCCAGCTCACCAGAAACAGACTGGATAAAACCACCACAAGCTTCATCCTGGCACTCCTGCCCCATTTTATCCTTGTGTTTTTGCTGTAACTCTTTTTTCTTCGTCTTCTTTTTCTTTTTCATAATCTTCATGTTATTTTTCTTTCTATAATTTTCTGTTTCCTAAAAGATAATGGAAAAGTTAGAAGTCCACAACATATACACAATCTTGTCCTCTCTCCAGTCACATTCCTGTTTCCACTGGAACCCTCCCTCTCAGTGCAACCCTGCTGTTAGCTTTCTCCCCAAAAAGGCTGCAGAGTTTCTGGCTCTGACAGGGCCCTGCTACATAACCTCAAATGACACTTATGAGGAAGTTGTGAGGAAGAGCTGTAGAAACACACAAATACAAAAGACCAGAATGACAGAAAGAAGTGGAGCTGCTAAGTGGGAAGTCATTAGCAGCTCAAAGATTCAGAAGGAAAGTCATCAACAAGAAACACTATAAAATCCTAAAGGGAAGTTGGTCAGGAATTGAAGGGTGACAAGGTTGAGCTTAACAGCAAAATACTGTCTTGGTAACATCAAGATTTTGTTTCATGGGGCTGTGGTAGCTGACCCTTACTTTTACCTAGTATCTGCCCTATAAGGAAACACTTTTTAGAGTTTTATTAGGATAGCAAACATAATGCTCCACCTCATAGAATGTTAAATACTTGCTATTTTTGGATTCTGTACACACACACACAAAAAATCATTCTGTACTCAAAAACTCTATAAATCCTGCAGCTGAATCTGTTTGTCTTGAAGAGAGTGGCCCAAAAGAGGGGAGCAATACCTTTTCCATCCCACAATAATCTCCAAGATGGCTAACAGAAATAGGAAACAAGGAAACAACAACCTCCTGCCCAAACAGATGGCCCTTTCATTTGTGCAGTAAAACCATTTCACTCGTTACAACAAACTTGTCTACAACAGTTATCTGATGGAACAGAAGACAGAAACCTGTTCCTGAAAGGAACACTAAGGTAACTTGTTGGTTTTATCAATTACAACTTCACTTGTTTCAGAGGGACTTCCTGTGATGACAAAACTCACATGGACAAAGGACTGTGAATGTATGCCCCAACAGCTGCAATCCTTAGTTTTGTTACACTGACAAAAATGTCAGGTGGACTATAAAGTTAAAACGGAAGAACTGGCATTGATCTTTCATCCACATCCCTCATGTTATTATACACAGTCCAATGCACAATGCTTAGCAGTAATCTAATAAGAAAAAGCATTATTTTCCCATTCAACTTATTTGCAAACTACTACACATGAACAAAAACTGTACACATACTTTGGGTTGAAGTTGCATACCTGTATGGTCTATTTACAAGTTATCCATTAAAATCACATACAAGTTTCTCCTATTTATTTACAAATTAATTAGGTCAGAACCATGCAGTGCTCTGTCTCACTGTCAGGGAAGGCTGTATTCCATAAAGAGGACACTGTGAATATTGCACTGTCTTTTTGTCATCAGTGAAAACTTCAGGCCCCTTCAAAAGCCCAAATGCTCCCTCTGGGAAGCAGAGCACCAAAGCCTCACTCCTGCCCTTTGGAACAGCCTGGCTTTATCAGCTGCAAGGGGGATTTGAAAAACCTGCTGTTTACATTACTATCAAAAGCTAAATGGTTAAAGCAGACAGTGTGAAAACACATGCTCAGACTGGAGTGTACTAGCTGTCTTGATGTGCAGCATCAGCTTTATCACAGCTGTTTTAAATCACATTTCTCTAGTCACAAGAGCAGTACAGACGGACACATAAAGCACAGCCCTGACCCTGTTTAGTCCAACTGGCAGAGGGGTTTTACAACCTGGACAGACCAAGGTGCTGTGTGCTGTTACCAGGATGCAATGCAGGCAGCATAAAAGGCAGCTCAGATGCACTTCCATGCACTGCCATCTCAGAAATAACTGAGAGGAGACACGTCCCTAGGTCTGGAAACACTACACAAACAGAACAAATAAAGAAAGTAAAGATTTACCACAAAGTCCCTGTGGGCTGACTGTCCACCAAACTGAAGAGGCAATCCCATGCTCTTCATAAGTTCAGCTTCAGAGTCTAATTCAACTTCTTCCAGGTCCAGGGCATGATTAGCATTCACCTTTAATCTCACATTGGGACAATGGTTCTCCTCCTCAGATGCTTGTTCTTCCCCTGTTAACAAGTTATATTCATGAATATAATCTGTTTCTGACACCTCAATGCCACAGCAAAGCACACAAAAGATAGCAGAACTGCCTCTTATGTTTTCTTTCTCACTTAAAAATCTTCCTCATAAACAGCTCAATTTCTGCATAACTATCAGTAGGAATCAAAATGTAACTTCAACAGCCAAAGCACTGGACTGGGTCTGTCTGTAAAGGAGTTAAGCTCTCCATAGCAGTCTCTATGGCACTGTGTTTGGGATTTGTGGCTGAGACAGTGTGGATAGCACACTGATGTTTTGGCTACTGCTAAGCAGTACTCACACAGCCTCCATAACCTTCTCTTTGCCCGACTCTGCCCTCCCCAGCAAGCTTGCACTTCTATCAAATTGTTAAACAAAATCATACTAAAAATAAAATTACAAATATTATTGAGAAAGTAGGAGCTGTATATGGATAAAAATTATGAAATCAAAAGCTCTTGACTCAGTTGAGAATACTGAAACATTCAAGGTTTTTGGTTTGGTTGTTTAGGATATATTTACTGCCAAATTATCACATAACATGAGACCTTTCCATTTTTAACTGATTATTCTCACTGCAAATCACTCATACATATACAAAAACATAATTTACAATCTCCTTCTTTCATTCCTCTCACATTGCCTCAATCTATTCTGTGGTGTTATTTATCAGCTTCTATTTCTGCACAGATTTCCTTTCAAATCAAGATATTACGCTGCTGGATCTACCAACACAGCAATGATTAAAAAAGATACCAAAACAATTATGGTCAGATAGGCAAACATGAGGAATGCAGGAGATGGAGTAAGGAAGTGGTGTTGAATTTGTTAGAGAGTATACCATGATAATTCCTAGATTACAAGCATGCCAAGTGAGAGACTTACTTTTCTGGTTCTCCTCATGTGATTCATTGTATATATGTGAATCATAATTTTCCCCATCAGTGCTATTGCACTTCTCTACTTCTGGCTCAGCAGATTAACTAGCAGCAGCTAACGTCCTAGGCTGGGGTACAGACAGAGGAGACAAACATCTAGGATCCACAGACCCTCCATTATGCAATCAGTATTGAATTAAGTTGAAATTATGATTTCAAGGGATCAGGGATTTCAAGGGATCACCAGGTCAGGAATGTGTGATATAATCTGTTCCATGCACCAGGTGAATATTATGTGAGCTGGTAAAGTTTATCTGGACAGAAATAAGCACTGCACTAGGTTTGACACAAATTTCTACATCAATATTATGGTAACCTGAAAGCTATGTAAATTTTAAGTTATTATTCACTTCTGTCTCCATAGCAAAAGTACTGAAAAACACAGAAATAGGAACAACTTAAATAACCACAAATAACTCACTTTGAGACTGCACCTCACATTGCATAGCACATTGCATTAGCTTACCTGTACTGTCATTGTCATCTTTGACATAAAATCCTTTTAATCCCAGTTTATATAATTTTCGATCTCTGTAAAAATAAAGACAGACACAGATGCAGAAAGTCACCATTGAAACAATGTTTTTTACAGTAAAAGCAATCATTCAGTGGAAAAAACCTCCCCAGGGATGCAATAAAATCCCCAGCATTGGACGTTTCAAGATGATCCTTGATGGGGTACTTAACCTCTTCTAGGCTCCGCTCCCACGAAAGGCTGGACCAAGGGACCTTTCCCAAGGTCCCTTCCCACACGGGCTGCCCTGTGACTACAGACGCGCGAAACAAATAAAAAGTAACAACGTCTGGAAAAGGCAACACTTTAATTGAAGCCTGACGGGAAAGCCCAAAGGAGCGAGGCTCAGAAAACGCCGCACTAGGCGGTACACTCCGGAATGAAATGTTCCGCTCCTCCTCTCTTTGAGGAACCGGCTGCTCCCCTGCGGACGGGGGGCGCGAAGGGGGCGGCAGGGCGCGCTGAGCCCCGGCCAGGGATCGGCGTCTGGGGGCTCCTCTCACCCTTTTCTGCTCCCCCCACCAGTGATAAACATACCGGGGTGCTTCTGGGCACAGCCCCGCAAATCCCCGCTCCGCCCGCATTCCCTGGCGCAGCAGCGCGGCCCTTCCCGCCCGCCCCAGCCGGACGCTCCCGGGCCACGGGGGTGCGCCCGGCGCTACTCACTCGACGAAGGCGCGGGAGCAGAGGCACAGGATGCCGCCGGCCGCCCCCGCCCGCAGCAGCAGCTCGGCCACCAGCCTCGGGCCCGGCTCCTGCACCATCGCTGCGGCGGCTCCCACGCCGGGCCGGCCCCGCCGCCGCCTTCCGCCGGAACCGCCGCCCGCGCCCGCCCCGCCGCGGCCGGGAGAGCGCCCCGAGGCGGGGCCTGCGCTTACAGGGAGCTTGCACGAGGGTACGAGCGTGTTGGTGGGGTTCAAAGAGGGTCAAAAGGAGCGGGGAAAGGGCATTACAGCAAGAGCCTGCGGTAAAAGATGGAGCTGTCAAAATCTGGTAAAACCGGGAGCGGGAAGCTGAAGCGAGCAAGGCGTTTTTGGAGTAGTGAAGGGAGCAGAATCACAGAATGATTGGGTTGGAGCGGACCTTAAAATCACTTTGTACCAACCGTTCTGCCATGGGCAGGGGCGCTTTCCACTAAACCACATTGTTCAAAACCCCATCCAGCCTGGCCTGGAACACTTCCCCGTCCAACACATCCAGTTGTAGATGGGGCATCCACAGCTTCTCTGGGAAACCCCAGTGCCTCACCTCTCTCACAGTTAAGAATGAACAGGAGAGCTTAAAAGGGTGAGAGAGTGGGGACAGCATGGGCAGAGAGAGTCAGAATGAAAACAAAGCCTGATGAGAAGAGGGGCTTGGGGTGAGGCAGCAAGGTTGGAATGAGGCTCTGGAGGCAGAGGTTGGGTAGGGAGGGAGGAAACCATTGGGAAGCAGCCATGTGTGATAGGTACAGTGATACAGATAACCATGTTTTGCTCACAGATTTCTTTACTGTGGGGCCTTGCTTCAGGCAGTAGCTCAAGATATAACCTGGGAAAATGCCACTGAGGGATCTGATGACTTGAGAGAGTTGGAGCGTGTTTAGAATAGGAGGTTGGTTGGAGACAAGGGAAAGTGCAGTGATGAGCAGACCACAGGATCCTCCCCTGTAGAATCAGATTCTATCCTGTTATCTCCTGTAAAGAATTTATATGATGGTGCACTAGGTTTGAAAGATTTGCTGCATGAAACACTGGGTGACAGACTGTTCAGTTCTACTTAGATTACTCAGAGTTTATCTATAAGATGCATGAAATTAATGTCTCTAAAGGCCATTATCACTTGAGATCACTGGGACAGGCTTTCTCAGATAAAAAAATACAGACTTTGGAATCTCTTCTTACCTGCTAACCTGCTTAATGGACAGTGAAAGAGTATCAGAAAGAAACGTAGCTTCATATCCACTCTGCTTTTAGGCCCTTAAGACAAGGTTAATTTTTTGCAGCGGTGCTAAAATGGAGACTACCATTCCTAAAGCACAACAGGCCCTCTGGAATATGTTTGTTTTTGACAAGCTGGGATACTGGGTGTTATGTTACCTGCATTCAATGCATGAGTGTGCAGTTTGTCTGCTGTGCTGTCTCTTTCTGTTTGCATCAGTGTATTTTAGGTAACAAAGCTGTACAGCCTCATGAGGGTGCAAGATGTCCTCAGGATTTATAAGACATTTCTTACAGAAGATATGCAAAGAGGAGTTTGGATGCAGCAGGATGTTCAGGTGACAGTAGCACAACTATAACAACAAATTCCATCCATTTACAGAAAAAAAAATCTTAATTGTATCCTGAATCACCCACCATCTTACTTGTGGTATAAACAAAAAAAAAAAAAAAAAAGCCAGTGTTAGTCAGGGCTTGAATGTGTCTATCACTACAGTAATTAAATACTTTAGAAATACAGGGAAAGATTGCACCAGTTCTAGCATTCATAGGGGTCTAACTGCATCTGCAATTAGGATGATATATCACCTTCATATTTCAGAAGTGAAGATGCAGTAAAATGAAAGCCTTTCAGCAAAAATTGTTTAGCATTGTTTTAGCCAAACGCTGTGTGTAAAATTGAATTGTGAAGTGCAAAATATTTTGAGAATTATGATACTCCTCTTAAGGAAACGATGCTATATTTTTAATGACATGCAGTGAGTTGCAACATTGTATAAGAAGAAGATGCCTCTTCTTTTATAATATTGCAGCCCAATATCCTGCGGCCTGCAGGAGCAGCCACCCTCAGGTAAGGCTAAATCTATGTGGGAAAGCCTCCTAATGCTCTCCCATTCCCCAGCCGCCTGCAGCTGATGGCATGTTTTCTGCCTGTTTAATAAGACACTAGATTTCTTCTCGTGATGTTTGTCCAGTTTACCCCACAGCTGTTGCATGAGAAAGAACTTTTTCCATTTTGAACATGGCTTCTCCTTCAAATGCTTCCCTTATAGGAAGAGAATAAATGAGAAATTGATCCATACTCAGCTACTATACTGGTGAATTTTATAGATATCAGTCCTTATATTCTCTTCCAAGATGACAAACCCTGGCATATCCAATGTTCCTCCTCTGGGAGTTGGTCTGTACTTCTGGTTTTCTCCATTACTCTCTTTTTCTTGTTGTACCATGGCCTACTACAGATACCCCCTTGGGATCAAGGCTGCACTGATAGGTCTGACCTAGGCAGGGCAATGCACTTGGGCTGTGATTTCTAGCACACATGACATTAAAATGTGGCACTTATATCAGGAAAGAGGCTTGTGACAACACTGGTTTCTCTTGAGGTTGCACTGGCAAGTAGCATGTTTCAATTAAAGTAAAATAAGCCATTCTTAAAAAATTTCTGCTGATGAGATTCTACTGATTTAAAAAGTCATATGTAATGAAATGAGTTTGCTATTGACAGGGAGCCTGTTTTACAGGAAGATAATGGACTGCTTCACACTGACTTGGTGCAGGGCTGGTATGGTTCTCCACTAGAACCAGAATGATTTGCCTGATCCAGGTGGATGACACCAAAGCAACCTGCATTGCTGTAGCTTGTTCCTCAAGCCACTTGCCCTGCCCTGCCCACCCTTTCCTGCTTTCCTCTGGTACATCCCGTTCTGAAATGCTTCTTTTCTACTCCCCCACCTATTTCTGTTTCTTGCTCCTTGCTCTCACACGCAGTTATGGGGCTCAGTTTCAAAGACCTTCTTGGACCTATCTGTTGTTATGTTTTTTATATGTCTTGGGTGACAGTGAGGTGACTCCCCTTTGCAGTGATCCTGGCTTTGCTGCTTTTATCTGTGCTTCTCAGAAGGTGACCTTGCCTCCCAACTGGCTTTAAAGCATTTCATTATTTCCTTTTCAAATACCTTTTCAAAGCTTACTTCCATGACAAATACTGACCAAATAATGATAATATGAAGGATTCTGGGAATAACATCCGTAGCTACTAAAAATAAAACAAAAGCAAATACATGCAATGTTTTTGAAATGGAACATATTCTCACAGTAACTCTTACCTGCTCAATAATTCTGAGCTCCACCCTTACATTCACATCTCCCTTACCATGTAAGAATAGTGCTGGACAAATAAGGCAAGTATTTCTAAGACAAGATGAAGCTTTTTATATGTTTATGTATGAACTCTTAGAAAACAGCGTTCACTGTTTCCTTGAAGGAAATTATTGGATTAGATATGTATCTGAATATAATAAAAAAGTCAAATAGTTTATCAACATCTCCCTTTATAAGCAGATTATAAGATTAAGAAATTAAGAACAGTATTTAAACAGAGTAAAATTTTCTAATTTGCATGTTTCTAAAGACAAGTGATTCTATCACCTTTATGTGGTGGATAAGCTGAGAGAAATATCTGAGAGTGTTTAAGTCAATGCATTGCATTATCTCTTAGCAGGATGGGATAGGTAAACCTGAATTCCCTACATGAGAATCTCTAATCCCTGTAATTCATATATTGAAATATTTGATTCAGCTGAAGTATCTGGACAACTTTCTGCAACCTGTGCCCTGGTTCTGGCTGATCACAATGCTAGTTATAATGGTCTTTGTACTTGAATTTTTTCTTCCTGGTTCTCTGTACCTTTTCAGTCTTTAGCTTCACACATCTAAGAAAAGGGATGGCTTCAAGGGGCATTATTCCAATGAACTGTGCACCAGAAGGTGGCAAATGGTGACATCTGAGGAACTTGTATGGAGAATTATGGCAAGCTAAGTGAGGGTTTTTTCTTTTAGCTTAAAAATAGTCTCTAATAAAGAGGAGAAGGTGTCACATGTCACTTCACCAGTTGCAGATGTATACAGAAGGACATACAATTGGATTAAGCTTCAGAGACACTCCAGTCCTCTCAGAAGGTATTGGCCAATGTGCAAATAGCCAAATACTCAAATACTATTTATCATTTGCAGAATTAGAGGTCTCACAGTAATATCTCCTTTACACTTTTTTTGGTAAAGATGGGAATCAACTAAGCAAATGCAAATCACATCTGTTGGACATATGATTTTGTGACCATCTGTGGTAGAAGGGGATTTTTTTCCTGTGTTGAAGTCCCCTTTGACGCTTAGATATGACTGATCTGGCACATGAGAAACTAATTTTATGTGGCAGTATTATCTCAGCTGGAATTAAGCTATGATCCTCCTGAAAACTTTGTGCTTCTAATTTTTCTTCAGCTTTTGCTTTTATTTCAAAATACATAGACTCATTTAGGTTGGAAAAGATCACTGAGCTCAGCTATTAACCTAACACTGCCAAGCCCACCGCTAAAGCATGTCCTGTGGTGCCACATCTGCAAGACTTTGAAATACCTCCAGGGATGGTGACTCAACCACTTCTCTGGGAAGCCTGTTCCAATGTTTGACAACCCTTTCCATGAAGAAATTTTTCCTAATAATGCAACCTAGATCTCTCCTGGTGCAGCTTGAGGCCATTTCCTCATGAAGGAAATCCCAGCTTGAACATGAAGCCATCCCAGATAGATTGGGTATTTTTTTTAATGGTAGATAAGCCGAACAAACGTTTAGAAAGACACAGAGCAAACATTGTATCCAGACAAGTTGTTTGAGTCTGTTTCTTACTATACAGTGCATTTTTTATCTCCTAATTGCCTTTTTAAAGACACCTTAAGTCTCAGCCTTCTAGTAATGGGCAGAATCCTCTAATTATGTTGTAGCTGTACTCAGATTGTGTCATTAGCCAAATCTGTGGGAGCTGCAGGTTCTTGTAATCATTGTGGTTGCCTTAGCTGTGATGAGTTGTTCAGTA